AATGTTGTTGGTCATAATAGTTTTTTGTAATTTTACTCTACTGTATATACAAATTACAGGGTGTACAATCGTTTTAAGCACATCTCTATTAAATTAAAATGATCTCTTTCTTTAACGACTTAAATTTAAGAAATCGAATAAGTAGTTCTTCGGTTACTTAGGTACTCATTAATTAATACGACCCCAGCTAGAATGCTAGCATGCTCAACACCAAGCTATCAACGTTTTTTTAACGTACACGTCATGTATGTTGTATGCGTGCGTAGGTCAATTTTTTTATTAACCATGTTGCTGTCTGAGGTATTATTAAATAAATAATTTATTATTTAAATAACTACTAGATAATTATTAATATCGCTTCCATGAATTCATTTTCAAACTTGGCACTTAGTTCACATTTTAAACTTCGCGTCCGGTAGTGTCGCCTGCCACTCGTTGGGTAGTGACCACCAACTGCAAGTACCAAAGTGGCTTTTAATGTATAAGAGTTACTGCTCTGCTGCTTGAAATCATCTTCCCCTCGTCACCTGATTTATAAAGATTGCTTGATTTTCGCTCGCTTGACAAACCATTTAATACATGGCAGGGGCTTAAGTGGTTCAAATTCAATAAACATCACTGTACAATAAAGCTTTATCTTCGCCATGTTTTCTCTTTTACTCACTTTCTTTCCATATCCTCTGGCGTAATTGTTCAGGGATTGAAGGGGTAAAAATTAATCACCCTGGCCACCAAATCGTCTCGCCCATTGCGTATTATTAGGGTTTTCAACTCGTTGATCTCAAATACCACACCAGTAAGTGTCTCCGATGACAAATTTAAGTGTCTCTGTTGTTTTATGTTCGTTCGTTGTGCGACCATTTGGAGCAACTGTCTGATTTTTTTTATACGCTGACAATGACGTCTAGGAGTTACTATAAAAATAGGGAAGCATTTTAAAAATATAGTTTATTGCACACATTATACAGTTGTTTATTCACCCATAACATTATATTTAAGTATGTTTTTACGTGGTATTTAGTATTCTTGGCCATTTAATCATTACATGTGATTATTTAGTGATAAGATATTTTTCTTATTAAAGTAAAGCTTTTTGTATATTACTGTACTTATAATTCAATTTCATGATTACTGTCTAGTCACATGAATTTACTGCAGGAGACATTTGTTATTACGGTAGAAGCTAGTAAACCTTAACAATTTTAGTTCTGCTTATTTTTTAAGAGTAATAGTTTCGCACACCTGTTTCAAACATTTTGCTGTATTAAATTATTTTCTTTTATTTCTTTTGTAGGATCGTGTTTCTTCGAGTAGTGTTGTTGTAACCTTCGATCCCCTATTTTGAAGTTCTTTCTTCCTATCCAAATCGTCTGATCCAATTCAAGTCTTGCGCCACTTTAAAGTATGTTATGCTGCTATTTTTTGGTAAACTTTGTTTTGTAATATAATTACTTTGATTTATTTCTCATTCATTTCTAGATATTACTGTTCTCCATCATTGACAGCTACATCTACGTTAGCACAATAATATGTCAAGACATTTGAAAATCTAAGCGTGTACAATCAGTGACACCTGAAACACCTATTACTCCAAATAATTAGCAAACGCCTAAAATAATCAAAGTTTATTATTTATAGATTCCGAGAAAGCAATACGTACCCAAACTTACACAAATAAATTAAATTTAGAATTATATTGACTTTTGGAGCTTTATCGTGTTTAAATTTTATTTCATTTTAGTCGTTAACCATCCGTTTTTGTGATTACAATATTATATTAAAGATTATTTATAAGCTTCCTATATTTTACTATCATGGCGAGTATCGAGTGATAAAAGCACAAAACCACCCGCTAAAGGACCGCTTCAGTGCTGCTCAGGAGAAATTTGGAACTTATTTAACATTTGATTGCGACTTAACTAAAACTTAGTTGAAATGAAAGTGGGACTTTACTGGGGCTTACTTATAATTTAAGTAAGATTCATCTGGAATTTACCTAAGACTAAGGGCATTGATAAGTACTTGAGAAGTGGGAACCAGTGTGTAAAACAGCTTATTCCGAGTAGAAATCCGTTGACAAAATAAGTTTTTGACGATTATTTATTAAGTGAATGAATTTGTAATACCGCTCAATTATGGCATGTACTTAAGTGGCACTTACGCAATGGTACTATGGTGGTCTTTGGAAAGTGGAACTTTGGTGGTACTTGTAAGGCAATTAAGCAGCCGTACTTTCTTAGGACTTGGGTGGCACTTTAGCAGCGGTACTTAGGCAGCACGTTAGAGGCACTAAAGAAACGGTACGTGAGTGGCACTTAAGCAGCAGTTCTTTGGCGGTACTTGGGTGGTACATGTGTCACATGACTTTGGCGGTAGATCGTTGCCACTTGGACGGTATTTCGATGAGACTTGGGCGGCATTTGTGTGGCAGTACTTGGGTGGTACTTGAATAGCGGAACTTCAGTGACACTTGGTAGGAATTTGAGTGGCGGTACCTCGGCAGTACTGCCGAAATGCCGCCAAAGTTACATTTAAGTACTTCTCACGTACTGTTTTCTTAATACTACGTAAGTACTGATGCTCAAGTGCTGCCTAAGTGCCGCTGGTCAAGTACTACTTTAGTGCCACCGAAGTCCTGTTTAAATACTGGGCAAGTACATTTAATGTGTTACTGAAGTTTCACCACCTTAGTACTATTGAAGTCTAGTCTAAGTCTGGCCCGAGTATTGCTATTTGTCTAAAAAATATTTAATTTTTTTCAACACTTTTCTCTTATGTAAATTTATCAAATCAACAACTTTCGTATTTATTATTTTGCTGAAAAATATAACATTTTCTAGATATTTAATAAAAACTGAGTAAAAGTTGATTTTTAAGTTATTTTGCAATAAATGCCAATGACGCGTATTTCCATTGAAGTAGACGATCAAGAGTGTTACTATACACATTTTTTTCAAATTTCAAGTTAAATATTGTAATATTACCAAAGACGTTTAAGTCGTTAAAGAAAGAGATCATTTTAATTTAATAGAGATGTGCTTGAAACGATTGTACACCCTGTAATTTGTATATACAGTAGAGTAAAATTATAAAAAACTATAATGACCAACAACATTTTTGATTTGTTAATAAATATAGAACATGCTAATACAAAGGAAAACGGTTTTCTATAGAAGACAAAAGGTAATGATAATATGGTCCCAGTATTTAATGTTATTCTAAGAATGTAAACTTTGCTTTTTTTTCTCCCATAATTATTTCTGCTTCCTTATTATACTTAAACAATTTTGTTATTTTTAATCTTGTGCCTCTACAGAGACCGTCTGATATACTTAAAGTTCTTATTAACACTACTATAGCATTTATTCTTAATTTGAATTCGTGTGGTGGAAGACCCTCTCTGAAATATATTTCAAAATACCATTGGAAAATTAATATTAATGTCAATTTAATTATGTTAAGTGAATCATATGTTTTATCAACTCCTTAGTGAGTCACGTGTTCTGCTGTTGTGAACCAATTTTCAGCCTGCATTGATAAATACACGAGTAATGTCGTTATTTTGTCTACTCAATCTATTAGTGGGGGGTTGGCTCGTGGAGCGCGTAGGCGGGCGTTAGCCCCACTAATATATATATACATATCAATTGTGACTTATGCAGACATTATTATGTAAAAAAACGTTATTATGAGAACAAAATCGTATTTATGCGAACTGTCCACATAACTAAGCACGTAAGGTCCTCATAAGTCACCTTAAATAAAGATGTATATACATGTNATGACAGTAATATTTAGGAATTAACAAGAGACATACGAAGGATAGCCTGATTATTCTAAGCAAGGGCAGTGAAGCTTACGTAGATAAAGAGAAAAAAGTTAAGTACAGTCGGTCTTTCTCTTCCGCACAGTAGTTAAGTAGGGGTGTACATGTAGAACCTTGGAGGAAGGTAAGAGCTGCATAAACGATTATGTAGATTTTTTCACTCTTACATTCTGAGAGTGTGCAAGATGGAAGGATCTAGTACCCTCGACTCCATGTCTTTCTACGTAAGCTTCACTGCATCTGCTTGGAATAAGCAGTCTATTTTTTATATGTCTATATAATTTAATTTATAAAAATAATAGTGGTAGTTTAATATCAAGCGATTTTTAACATTTACAACGTTTCCTACATATCTATAGGATAAAAAAACTTTTCCTACGTAAGTTTTGTTTGCACTACAACATCAATATTTTTCCTTAAGCTTTTATGAGTAATTTGTAGACTTTATGCGTCATGATCTCAAAAGTTATTAAAGTAGAATCATAGTAGATTAAGCACCAAAAATAATAATAAATCTTATTTTTATAGATTTTAATTGGGTATAGTGAAGACAATCTATTTTCAATACGTCCTATGTTTAGTACACATTAATGACTATTAAATTTTCAACTTAGCAAACGAATTATGTGAACTTGGTCATAGGTTCAAATGTTATAATTATTTTATTTAAAATAGATCATAAATTTAAGTTGACTGTATGAAGAACTTTTCCGTGAAATGATTTTAGCTTTTTTTAATGTAAGAAACCAGTTTTTTCTAAGACCAATCACTCTGTTTTTCTGGTCAACTTCGTTATTTACGGCTAAGTAAGTGTGTTCGTTGAATTACTTTATATTTTTATTGTATTACTTATTTGTCTGGATAATAATAGTAATACTACAGAATATCTGATCACATTATTAAGTTAAAAAAACTTTTTTACACCTGATAAGTTTAAGACCCTTTTTTTCTGGACAACTTATCTGAGCTAACCCTATGATAAATATGCTCTTTCAAAGTTGTTAAATAGCTTATTAGCCATAAGTTTCTTGTAAAAAAAATATATGTTAAGTACAAATTGACACTTATAATTTATTCTCAATAATAGAATATCACATTCCAACGTTATATGTTACGTTATTGTACTACAATTTATTGTACAGTTTTAAACTTGATGAGTGTCGATTATTTTCAGGGAAAAACGTATAGAACAAGAACGGATTCTTTTTTCTCAACAAATTTCTAGCCTTGAAGAAGAACTAACAAAAAAAACGAATGAGTTGCACAATGTAAGATCGGAGTCATCTTCTCGTGTACTGATTTTTCAAACTAAGTTGAGTCAATGTGAGGAAGAATTGAAAATAACTATTGAATCACTTGAACAGTTACGTGAATGTAATTCGTCATTGCAAAGGCGTTCTGAGGAATTAACTAAGAAACTTGACGATCAAAGAAACCATGAACTATCAATGCATGCGTCATACAGAGAAGAAGTATCAGCTCAAACAAGATTAGCTGATCTCTACAAAGGAATGATGGAAGAGGCTGAATCTAAAGCAAATGATTATAGTAATGCTGTTAAAGAATTGAAAAATCTGTTAGATCACGCTACTGAAAAATATGGGAACTTGGAGTCGAAATTCAGTCAAAATAGCATTGATCACACTCAGGAAATACTTCATCAACAGAAAATGATTAATGAGTTATCAAAAGAACTGAACGATGCTAATAACTTGATACAAAGTTTTAAACAAGGTAACTTACATTTTTTTTATCATTCACTTGTTTTTTTAACATGTATGAAATGGAAATTTACAAAGTGTGACAACATTTATTTTTATGTTTATTTATTAAATAATTCAATGCATTCTTTATAAACACTAAATTCCAAAAATATTTGAACAAATTACTTCGTTACTTACATTATATATTTTCTTAATATATTAGGTAAGATCAATCACATTCTTGAACCCGGCTATGTTTATTTCCAAAATCATATGTGCCGAAATTTTTAAAAACCGTAAAAAGAATATCAAACTTTAGATGTTTAACAAACAGTTATTCCGTAACTTACCGTACTCTTCGAGTCAGCTAAAATATCCGGTACTGTTGTATCATCTAACCTATTTGTACAAAAGTTAGGTAATAATTTTTTTAGTAAATAAAGCAATACATCATAATAGTAGAATGACTACCAAGATTAAGAAACACTAGTCGAAATTTCATGATGGTAGAATGTTTAACTTAACCGAACTCTTTTACTTGTGTCATAAAAAAAAATTATATTTTATTTCTGTTCTGAAGATTAAACCACATTATTAGTATGAAAAATTACTGATATTGTACACATACTTTAGTAAGAAAACAGCAAAAAAAGTCCTGGGGCTGAACCTAGAAAACCTACGAATGACATACTTTAATTATATATTTATAAGTTAAGACCTTACTTACGACAATTTCAGTAAAAACAGTGTCAAGTCTTTCTTTCACATTTATTCTTATAATTCTTTTTTTTTTTTTTTTTTTTTACTTTTTTTTATTTCCTGTTACTAAGAAAAGTAGTCAAGGAAGGGGTATATTAAGAGACTCATCAAACAGTTAAGCTGTTTTCAAGCAACCTAAAAATTTTATACAATACTTGAACACAATTCTGGCAGCTCTAAACTTCTAAAAAGTTTCCTAAACTTTCCTAAACTCCTAAAAAGTTCTTAAATATATTTCTTGAGCTTTGCTTTGTTAAACTTTTAATCTCATTTATTTCTGTAAGCAAATAGTTGTCTCAAAAAAAGTGAGTTGAAAAAGTATCGAAAATTTATTTGTTAAACTTGCATCACTTATGTCTTATGTAATTAGAAAAATTATTATATACGTAAGATTCAGAATAGCTCCCATCTTTGTTCATGGGTAAAGTTCTACTTCCATATTGATGCAAGTGATTTATAAATCCAAGATTACTTTTAAAAAATAGTGGCAAAACCTTTAAATGACGAATCGATCGTATGTATATGAGATTCTTTAATTTTGATAAAACTCTGTTCTTTTTGGTTATTCTCTTTAAAAATAGAGAATTTTATTTAAATTTTTACCACGCACTAAGCAGAAATTGTTTGTCACATTTTATTGCTAGTTTAATACTAGTTATAAAATTTTTTTATATCCCTAAAAATTTTCCATCAAATATCTTCGTAGTTTTTTTAATTTTCTTTAGTAGTAATTATTGATTAATAGTTAGTCCTTCATCTTTGTTGAGTGGGTTTTCGAAATAAGTGCATATGTAATTATATTATTAGAAGAAAGTGCTTTGTATGATCAAATCATTTTTCCATCAATTAAATAAAGAGTCTCTACTCTTGACCTTACAAGCATTGGGTTTCAATTAATCAACTAATTCTTGTCTTACGTCTGACAAAAATAATTTCTTCATATTCTATGTTGGAAAATTATCTTTATGGTTACTTTTTCACTTTGTATGAAAACAATACGTAACCGCCGTGATTAAAAATTATTCATAGATGCAGTTCTTGTAGATGTTTATTTATGTACGTTCTCTCCAGTGTTATCATTTATTTACTTTTTTTTAACTTGTATTTCTTTCTCTTAATGGTCTAAATCAAAGGCCTTTGTAGCTGCTGCTTCATCTCTGACTGCTAGTTTTTCTTGTCTCACGATTAGAAAAATGCTGGCTTACTAGCAATCAGTTTTCGTATTCATAATGAAGCCTCTAATATTTGTAACGAAGTGGTTCTTTCAGACTAATGAGATACATTATACCATGTGAATTGGGCACTATACAAATTGTGGCTCATGTTCTACTATATTAAAAAGGGACATACTGCAATATCAGAGAAGCTGAGATTTAAGAAGTTTATTACATAATTTATAGTTCCATGTAAAAATTTTTGTAATGATCAAAATGATAACAAAGAAGACGAATAAATACGTGTATCTGAAAAAATGCTGTTAAGATTTTTTTAAAAAGGATAATGCATATTATTGTACAAATTTAGGATTATCTACTAGAAAAGCTACGTAGGTAACGATGCTTAAGAGAAACAATAAATTGTTTTGAAAAATCAAGAGAAATTGAAAATGTGTAAATAATTTTAATTTTATTTTTTCGTGCAACTGATCTTTATTTTCTTATTTCTAGTTTCTTGTATTTTCTTTTTTTTCTAAATTCTTTCTTTCGTTGTTTTAATAGTTTTTAATGTTTGTAGCAATCTTATTATTGCTAGCTTTCTCTATATAAAATTTTTGTGAATAAATATCTAAACATTACTTTCGTGTCGTTATTAGTCTATGACTCTAAGCTGTTTACAACTTTTAAAACACATGCCCTTTCTCCAGGCACATTTTAATGAATTTATTTTTCTTATCAACATGTTTTTTATTCATTTAGTGTTTTATCAATCTAACAAATGCCGAGTAAATTTGTTGTTTTTTTGTTCTTAAAAGCTTTATCTTACAATTTACTTTTATTAACTCAGCATTTGTGTCGGGCTTGTTGTAAGTTACTGACCTTCTATAAAATGCTATTCGATCTTTTAGCTTTAGCCTTAGGGCCTATTTTCTTCTTTTTTATTTTGTATGTATGTATAAGTAATAAATCGTTTAGATTATTAATAATGTTTGGACTTGAGTCAATTATAATAAATGATAACTTTCTTTTGATAATACAAGTAAGAATATACACTTAAGAGGAAAAATTATTAATCATGAAATATACAATAGTGTTTTCCAGTCATTTCAAGTCCTTAATGCTTTGCGCAGTCCTTTCAGCTGTCCCTTAAAGTATATAAATCTATATTTTGTGACGTGGCAAGTCAACGTCACAGTAAAAGCAGACAGGAAGAGAGGCGGTACAGTGCGTGCGATCCCTACCTGATCCAAGGCCCATGTACATAAACCTATCCTTACTGTAGGCATCAAGGCCGGCTCTTGACTGTGCACAGCAGTTGGTGTGTGTGTGTACCCACACATGCAAGTAGTTTGAGCACGAGGACAGCGCAAATCGGCGGGCCGGCAGGAGAGACACTCGCTCATATCTGCTTGTTGTCGGGACGTGCGTTTTCGTTGACTCTGAACTCTGAACTTGGAGTCGGTCGTGTGTGTAAGTGTCCGGTGCTTCGTGAGATAACAAATCGGGCAACAACGGGAATCGCTGCCACGGCTACCTGTTGCCGACCTGAACTGTCACCTGAAGGCTGTAACGAGGTTCGTACAGAAGCCTTTTCGAACGAGTTTCGTATATTATTTTTCTGCCTGAAAATCCAAAATCTACCGGTAAAGGTGCTGTTTTGAGGTTAGAAAGTGGAAAACATTAATGTATTACGTAAGCGTTTATTTTATTCTTTTTTTAAACTTGAAAACGCTGTTTTAACAGTTTTTAAGAATATATTTGTATTGGTTGTCAGACTTTTTTTGTATTTTTATATACACATTTACCTCTCATTTACAGTTATAAACTGTCTAATAATATTTGAACCCATTTAAAGTTTGAGAACTACAAAATTAAACATTAATGTTCAAGCATGCTCACTAGTCACTCCGCGTCACCCCGTGACCACCCCACAAAATCACGTAAAATTTTGCTTGTGTTGACGTAATTCTAAAAAAAAAAAAAAAAAAAAAAAAAAAAAAAAAAAAAAAGTAACCAGCCGTGCCGCATCGTGCCATCCATTGCCACTCCGCAACCGTCCTGCCAAATCAAGACTCGTATCTCTTAAAATCTTGAATGCTACTTCATTGCTCTACGATTTGGTTAAAGATCAGCAACTAAGATTTTTTAACTTGAACAACTATATTACTGTCAACATCCGCAACTAAAGTTTTCCAAACTTAACAAACATATTGCTGTCAGGATGAAAAAAATTTAGTATATAAAAGCTGTCATTTGATCTAAATTATAATCATAAGTAATTTATTTTCTTACTGCATAGAAAGTACCTCTGTGGTGCATTAAGAGTTTTTTTTAAGGAACTCTTCTCTAGGTTTAAAGAAAAATTTATTGGAAGCGGTTCTATTGACATAAAAATTATTTACGATAGTCATTAGGCTTACATTAAAATTCACAATCTTACTTTACTAAAAGGATAACTTGAAAGAACTCATACTTCTCTCTAAAATAGGCATATAGATTCTTGTAATTTAACTACTTCATGATTTTAACTAATATTAATATTTTTTTAAATAAATTAATCAAATGCAATCTACATTAAAAGTGTATGCCAGATTCATCATCACTTGTTTACAAATCAAAAATTTTTTTTTCTNTGAAAAAATTGGCGAAATTCACTGGGCCAATTTGCTTAAACCTGAGTTTTAATCAGTTTTCCAATAAGCGACCGTGTTAAAATGACTGACCTTTGAAATTTAATATCTCGAAAACAAAACAGACGAACCTCTTCAAATTTTGACAGGTTTATTGCACCAACAACAAGAACGTCTAGTCAAAATTTCAGAAAAATTCACCGGAAAATTATATCTCTACCGAATGTCCTTAAGTGACAATTGTGCAGCCGTACATCAGCGGCATTTAGACTGCCCGTTAGCAGCTATACTTGGAAGGCGGGACATTGACGGCACTTGGGCGGTTCTTAAACAGTACTTAAGTGGTGATACTTTGGCAATACTTAAGTGGCACTTACGCAGCAGGACTTGGGCGGTGCTTAGGTGGCATTTAAACAGTGTCACTTTGTCGAGATATATCGATTTTTCGAAAAAAAGATCGTCTCAAAAATCGGTTCCTCTTGCCC